ATCATTGTCCTTTTATATATATATATATATATATTTGTTTAGTTAGGCAAGTGATTTGGAGAGAAGGGAGTGGAGAAGAAGATAGAACCGGTGACATGATGAAAAAAGTTTATATTAAATTGTTAGGTCACTAGGTTGGTAAATATTTTTTTATATTATTAAATATATATATATATATATACCATACAGCTTAATATTATAACTATTCTGTTTTATATAGAGATTGAAAATTAAATTCTAAACCTATACTTAAAACTATAAATAACTTTATTACTGTAGCACGCGATTGATGGTAACATTATAACTGCCGTGGTATCTGCTCCTTTTGAATTACTAACGCCTCCAGGAGATTTCCATGCCCATTAATGAAAGTAGGCCAAAGTATCATTGACCGAGAACACAATACTAGTGGTGTAAAAGAGTTTTATCAACAGCAACGTTGTCGGTGTCATCAAATCACCATCTTAGACTTTATTCCGTTTTTTTTTTTCTTTCTTTTCCGGGGAAGAGGAGCTGAGATTTGATCTCAACTTTGTTAGTCCTATGCACATTCTGCAAGGTATGGGTAGTAGGGCACCAAGTGTGGGACTAGATTTTGTTTCGTATTGTTATACATTTTTATGCGAAAAGAATTGTTATTTTTTAAAATTTTTTTAAAATAAAAAAATAATATTTATATATATTTTTAACATTTTAAAATAAAGAAAATAATAAAAATAAGTTTTTATAATGGAATGAATAATTAAAGTGAATTAATAATAATAAAATAAACTTTAAAATATTTATTTATTTTAAAAAAAATAAATATTCTGAGATAAATTAAATTATAAATTATTGTAAGATAAAAAATAATTTTAAATTTTAAATTTTTATTTTTTAATATATTTAGTAATTGCTAGTATTATATTTAAATTAATTTAATAAATTTAAATTTTTATAATAAGTTTAAAATTTTAAATATTAAATAATTATCAAATATAAAAAAATAAAAATAAAAATTAAAA